GCACATCCCGCGATTTACCTCCCTGAGCTGCTGAGGGGCCGGAGGTTCAGGGACGAGGATATAGTCTGGCGCAAGCTGGGACATCTCGTTAAAAAAAAAAAAAAGTATGAAGCCCTTCTGGCTAACCTTAGACTGGCTAGAGAGATGAAGGTGAAGAGACTAATTATCAACAGAAATATGGCAGCATATCTAAAATTGATCATGAAATTTATCCCATCCTTCAAAAAGTTCGAATTGGTAGAGGTCCCACGAGCAGAAAATGACCATGTGGACGCTCTTTCAAAGTTAGCAAGCAACAAGGACTCTAAACTATTTATCGTTGTGCCCATAGAAAACCTCCATAGACCCTCCACCTCTAAGGGTGAAGAGGTAATGTGGGTTAAAGATACTCCCCATGATTGTAGCCTATCATGGAATTTCTCAAGGATCAAGCATTACCTTTCAACAATGAGTAGGTGTAGAAGCTCAGAAGAAGAGCTACACATTTTGTTTTTTAGGATGACGTGCTTTACAAATGAGGTTTCTCCCTATCCCTTCTTCGATGCATAGGTGGCGAGTAGGCCACCTACGTGCTCCAAGAATTTCATGAAGGGATTTGTGGCAATCACGCATGAGGATTGGCTCTGGCACAAAAGCTATTAAGGCAGAGATACTATTTGCCTACATTGAAATATGATGCACAACGATTTGTAAGAAGGTGTAATAAGTGTCAGTGCTTCGCAGTAATACAAAGACAACCTTTTCAAGAGCTAAGTGTTGTCTCTAGCCCTTGGCCCTTAGCTAAGTAGGGGATTGATCTTATAGGTCTTCTACCTAAAGGAATGGCAGTGATAGCTTTGCTATCATTGCCATTGATATTTTACAAAATGGGTGGAAGTCGAACCTCTATCTGAAATTACAAAAGCCAACACTTTTGAGCTCTTATGGAAAAACATTATATGCAGGTTTAGAATCTCCATTCAATCGTTTCTGATAATGGACGACAGTTTGATAACAAAAAGATCAAAGACTTATGTGAAGAATTAGGAATCAAGAAGCATTTCTCCATCCCCCATCATCCTCA